AGGGCATAGCCCGTGTTTCTTCTTCTGGTAGTTGATTTTATGCTGGGGCTTCCTCAGCCCGTACCACCTGCTCTCCTTCTTCTTCATCCGCTAGACCAAAATTCTCACCTTCTGGCCAGTTCGTGATGACTTCTAGGATCCCAGGGTGATTCGGATTTCCAATAAGGGCACGCTGCGTGATCAGAGCAATCCACTTACTCCATGTAGCATCAGTGGCCTGATGTGTAGAGGCCGCTTTTCCCTTGAACATCCAACTCAGCACCAGTAATTGAGGTGCCAGGAGGAGCTGTTCTTCTGTGCCGGTCACCTCTGAGGCAGCTTGTACTCCTTCATAAGCTGCTAGGATCTCCTTCTCTGTTGGAGTGTAGTTGGCTTCAGATCCTCTGTAGCTTTGGCTCTAGAATCCAAGTGGATGGCCTTGGGTCTCACCAGGCACCTTTTGCCAGAGGCTCCAGGAAGGACCATTATCCCCAGCTGCAGAATAGAGTACATTCTTCACATCTGGTCCTGTCCTGACTGGCCCAAGGGCCACAGCATGGGCAATCTCCTGCTTATTCTGTTCAAATGCTTGCTGCTGTTCAGGGCCCCAATGGAAATCATTCTTCTTGCAGGTTACCAGATAGAGAGGGCTTTCGATTTGGCTGTACTCAGGGATGTGCATCCTCCAGAAACCTATGGCACCCAGACGAACTTGTGTGTCCTTCTTGCTGGTCGGTGGGGCCATTGCTGTGATCTTATCAATGACTTCTGTCGGGATCTGATAACATCCATCTTGCCACTTCACCCCCAGGAACTGGATCTCTCGGACAGGTCCTTTGACCTTACTCTTTTTGATGGCAAAACCAGCTCCCAGGAGAATCTGGATGATTTTCTTTCCTTTCTCAGAAACCTCCTCTGCTCTGTCCCCCCATACGATGATGTTGTCAATGTACTGCAGGTGTTCTGGAGCTCCACCCTTCTCTAGTGCAGCCTGGATCAGTCCGTGGCAGATGGTGGGCCTGTGTTTCTACCCCTGGGGCAGTTGGTTCCAGGTGTACTGCAACCCCTCCAGGTGAAAGCAAACTGTGGCCTACACTCTGCTGCTAATTTGCAATGTCAATAGTGGTGTACCACCTTGCTGCCTTGAACTCCAGCTCCTACTGGAGCTCCAGCAGGAACAGCAGGGTGCTGTTCTGGAAGGGTGCAGGTCTGGAACAGCAGCACTCAGCAGCAGGGTGGCTTCATTCAGGCCACAATAGTCCACAATCACTCTCCATTCTCCATCAGAGTTACGCACAGGCCAGATGGGGCTGTTGAAGGGTGAGTGGGTCTTGCTGACCATCCCTTGGCTCTCCAGCTCATGGATAATCTTATGGTTGGGGATCACAGAGTCTCAGTTTATTTGGTACTGCCGACGATGCACTATTGTGGTGGCAATTGGCACTTGCTGTTCCTCAACCTTCAACAATCCCACAGCAGAAGGGTTCTCTGAGAGACCTGGTAACAAATTCAACTGCTTAGCCACCTCTGTCTCCACAGCAGCTATTCCAAAAACCCATCTATGTCCCTTGGGGTCTTTGAAATATCTGTTCCTGAGGTAGTCAGTGCCCAGGATACATGGGACATCTGGACCAGTCACAATGGGGTGTTTCTGCCAGTCCTTCCCGGTCAAGCTCACCTCAGCTTCCAGCACGGTCAACTCCTGAGACCCTCCTGTCACCCCAGAAATGGAAATAGTCTCTGGTCCCACATGTCCTGAGGGCATTAACGTGCACTGAGCACCAGTATCAACCAAAGCCTGGTATTCTTGTGGGTCTGACGTGCCAGGCCATTGGATCCACACAGTCCAATAGACACAGTTCTCCCGTGCACCTCCGTGGCTAGAGGCAGGGCCCCTCTAACACTGGTCTTGGCTGGGACCATCACAGCTCTTTCCCTGTGAAAACAGTTGGGAGGAACCTTCTAGCAGGTCAGATCCTTGTCCATGAGATACCGGTACTGCACTTACTCTCATGGGCTTCCCTTTTTCTCTCTCCTTCAGCTCTTGTCCTCGGGCTGCTAGGGCACGGGTAGGTTTCTGTCCCACTGTCTCATGTCTTCTCCATGATGGACTAGGAAATGCCACATCTTGGTTCGTGGGGTCTGTCCGCTCTCTCTAACTGGGGAGCATCTGGCTCTGACTTCAGAGGCTCTGGTTCGCACTGGTGCCACGTGGAAGCTGTTTTCCTTCATCTCCTCTCTAAGTTTCTTCTGTTCATCTTGTACTTCTGTAGTCAGTGCCTTGAGGCTCTCAGCCATTGTCTCTATAGTGGAAATACGGGCCCATAACAGGGTGTGGACCATGCTGTTGTACATCCTGAGTTTATTCGTTACAGAGCCCACTGTCTCTCTGTTTCCTTCAAAGTGCAATGATGCCAAGAAAGTGTTGTATATAGGTAGCCGTACCTGTGAAAGGCTCCACCACATCTATGATATACACCTGATGTCATCGGGGTTGTGGCTGGGTTGCCCATCCTTGTCAAAATTGTCTCTAACAGTGCCATTTCTCTCAGGCATTGGATACCTTCCTCCATGTGTAACGGCAAGGCCCTTATATAACAAGGAATAATTCAGCTCCTCGTGGTGGTGTAATCAAAGAGAGTTTATTTCGAAATTCTTGCTCTTTATATCTCTTAATACCATGTGACTTCTTCAGCCAATAGAGTTATATGTGACTGTGCATGTTCTCTCGGGCCCATCTGCCCCGGCACATCCTCGTGCCTCCAGACACGCCTCCCACATCCATGGTCTTCCAGGCCGTCTCATAATGGTGCTGCTGCAGGAAGCCTCTGTAAACAAACTTCTCTCTCACACCTGTTAGAAGTCGCTCCCAGAGAGAAAGGGACTTTGACTCTCTCACGAATGCTTGCTTGATACCCACATCCTGGGCCAGGGATCCCAAATACCTTGCTTCATTGCTATCAAGTGGCAAGCCCTCACCCATAAGGTTCCACAATCAGCCAGGTCAAAATGGGCTTGTCTTGGCGTCAAGTAACATCATTCCACATATTGCAGAGCTGGTCATATGACAGGGATTTGGGAATGATCTCAGTTTCTGGGTCCTCCACTGGCTGTGAAGGCCCTGGTTCCCAGTCCTCATTAACTGGGCATATTGACTCGGCGTTATACTTCTTCCTCTGCACTGGGGCCACTTCTGCTGGCTGTAACTTCCCTTCTGGGTCTCCCCCCTCTGAAATGGGTCAGTCTCTCTCTCTCTCTCTCAGTTGTTCTCTGCGAGGTGTCCCGTGGGAAAAAAAAAATTCCTCTCAGGAAAAGAAAAGGAGATGGCCAAAACCAGCCCCCCCCCCCCGACTCTGTCTGGTCGGCCAACCAAACCAAAAACTCCTGACCAAAAGACTCTCCAGCCATGCCCCCAACAACTGCGCTCGCAGGGAACCTCCCCCTTCCCCCACTCCTGCGCTGCCCAGAGTGTGCGGCTCCGCTCTATCACCCACCCCCTCCCTGACTCTCCCCATCCCGGAATAAACAGATGGGAGGTGGAAAGGAGGAAAAAAATGGGACTCTAGGGAAAAAAATCCAACATCTCTTTTCAAACCTATGACAGAAGTGCATATATTTTCTATATGTGTAATTCTTTGATTTTTAGGTGAAGTGGATGTAATGGTCATGACCCCTGGTTTAAGCCTGCTCTGAGCCTATAATTTAAGCAACTTTGAAAAATCTTATCAACATAATAGTTAAGGTTTTCTTCCTGTAGCTTGTTGCTTGTGTGTAAAATCTCAATTTTTCAAAGATTTCCACATTAGTTTGTTTTGATTGCTAGTAAATAAAATTTTCCATTCAATTTCCTGTGCTGAGTACAGAAATAAGATCTAATGCTTGTTACATTAAAAGATATAACATTAACTGTACTTCATAAAGCTCCCTAAGACCATTCCGGCATTTAGATTTTTCTTTGCATGATTCTTTATCCCTGAGATTTGTGGAGAGGCACAAACCAGCAGAAAATCTTTCTTGGTACCAGCTCAGGAATTTCCTTGAGCTTTCATTAATTTCTCATGTCTGACAATAGCCCTGTATCCAGGAAAGTCCCAAAGCAGGCTTTTTTTAATATCTTTTTTTTTACCTGCACCCTGCAGATGCAGAAGCTTCTACGGGAAAGGTCAGCCCTACAAATGCCTTGTACATACACCAGGAAACCCCCCCAATAGGGGGACAGCATCTGATAGCTGCGAAATGGGGCCAGAAAAGACAATATTCAGATTAAAAACAGGAGAAGAAAATGTGAGGAGACACCAATGGCATAACCAAATCACCCAGTGGAGATGTTTCTCTTTTTAAGTGCATTTAGATAGGAATTCCAAATATATAGTTACACATCTGTGTTCAACAACCAGGAAATAAATGAAAAAGAAAATTGTGATTTTAGAACTTAATTTGTTTTGATTTAAACCCTAAACCCATGCATGACTACCAGTTTCTCTCAGTCTTTTTTTTTTGTGTCTTACTGATACCTGATACTTATAGTTCTTGGTCCTTCTTCCCTAGTTGTCTCATGTGCTTTGCATTTTAGCTCCTGTTTTTATTGTTCAGGTAAGTGGTGAGGAAGGAGCAGTTAAAGGGAAATAATATCTTCAGTGTGTCTCTCCAAGCCTGCTCCTGTAGCATTCCCCATACATCCATACAGCTCCCAGAGTTTTGGGGATGCTGTGTTTAATGTTCACTGCTGGGTTTGACTGCCACAACATGAAAAGCAGCAGCTCTTCCAGCAGCCTCCTGAGCCTCCCACCATCACAGCAATCCTAGGAAATGGGGAGCTGGGGGACTGGCAGTGCTCTTACAAATAGATTAAGATATAATTTCTCAATTTTGTTGCAGAATAGAAGCAATACAGAGTTACTCCACTTTGTGAAATGAAAATATATTTGCATGATGTTTTTTTCCAATACTATAACATGTTTATTTTCCTTCTTAACAAGTGATGGCAATATATTAATTGTACCTATTTTGCAATCCTTTAGGTGGCTATAATAGCTGGAAATTTTGAGCTTGCTGAATATATCAAGAATCACAGGGAAGCTGATATTGGTAAGCAAACTGTTAACAGGCACTGCAAATAAGCTCCACGTGTTTAAGCCAGGATTTTGCAAAGATGTTAAATCTGGTTCTATGTGAGATTTGACTACAGGGCTGATGACAAGTATAATTTCAGGGAGGTAACTCTTCTAAAAAAAATGAAGATGGGGGAAAAAGCTGAAATGTTTTCAAAATATGCTCTGAAAATGAAAATTTGGTAGGTAATGTGTAAGAATGGTAGATGCTTTTTAAGTATAAATCAGTTTGTAACATATTAAATACACACCCACATACCTGGACGAGCCAAATAGGCTCTTGCAGGCATTTTTGGCATTGCCCAAAATCAGCTTTCAGTAGGAATAATTGGTCAGAAGAAGATGGAGAAAGATGATTCCCTACAATTAAATAAATATGTGGCAGAATCCAACTCTTGATATCCATGAAAACATTTCCTGTCACGGAGTTTGGTGTGTGGCACTGGCTGAAGGGTAGAGACAGGCATTAAAGGCCCCTCACTGAAAAACCTTAAGGCTCTTTAAAGATTTTTTACGTAAAGAGATTCACCATTAAAATAAAACCAAGTTTGATAAAAGTGATTCCTAATACAGTTTCATAAAAATGATTTAAAATGCTTTCATTCAAGTAAATTAAAGCTTCACAGAAACATCCTGAAGTTGAACAAAAAAAGGCATTTCTTTTGAATGAAGAGGGTCTGTGTACTCTGCTCTGGTTTAACTCTGTGATGCAAATCTGTAACTTGATAGTATTTAATTTCTATGGAGAATTAGGCTAGCTCACATGAAATTTAAGATTAAAAATTGCTCTGGATTAAGGACTGCTTTCCATTCCCTTTCCTGGTTGCATATGGTCTACAGGAATATAATTAAAAATTTTATGTGGTAATGTGAATTCTTGTAGCTCTGTGATACTTTCAGCTCATTCAGAAAAACTGAGGACACATTGCATCAGAGTCATAATTTCTACATAAATTTCATAGTGAGTTTGAAAGGCTTTTTCCCTGGGATAGTGGGATAGTTTCTTTCCATGTAAGAATTCTTCATCCTTCTGGATTTATTAATAATCTGTAAAAAATTAACTAAAACCAAATCAGTTATTCCTAATAGGTTTATTGTTGTTTATATTTGCATATGGCTAATGCTTTTATGACTCTGTGAAGATGTTTAAATGAAAGGAAATAGTTGTTTAGACTCAAATGTTCCCTTAATTTCTGCCCTGTTAGTTCTTGATAGTCTCCAAATTTTCCTGACGCCTTCACTTTTCCACTGAAAAGTAGAAATATTGGTACTTCCATGATTGACCTGCATTTCTTTGCAAGATGGTGGTGGATTGAGCATAACTATTTAAATCAGTAGATTTGTCTTTAAGATTAAATATTAAGTTATTTCCTCCTACCTAATTTAAGTTAGCTGGACATTTTTCCTTTAAGATTTACCACTCTAAAAAAAAAAAAAAAAGTGAAGTCATCAAAATGTCTATTTCTAGAATGTCTTCCAGTTAAAAAAAAAAAGTAAATCAAAGAACCAAATCCTGAGCAGAAAACCTGAGAGCTGGTGTGATGATGAATGTGCAGAATGATGTCAGCATTTCATCTTCAACAAGCTGGCTTTAGCTTATCATACTTGTCTGGTTATCCACTATATCCATATGGTTTTGGATGTATTCCAACATATATCATTTGAGTAATGTACCTCCTTAGAGGCAACAGAGGGGGAAGGAATAGCAAAGAGCTTGAGGAGTATCCTCAAGGAGATAAGGACAGATCAAACTCAAGTCACTTGAGAAACATTTCATCATTCATCTCAGAAAGTGCATTTTTGGTTAGATGCTGAATTTTGATATCCAACCAGTTAATTAAACCTTGTTGTTATTATTTTAGGCTCATTTAATAACTGTAATCACTTTGTATTTTGTAATTATTTTAGACTCATTGAATAATAAGCTACAACTGTGGGAAATGCTTTGACATATGTGCAGCTTTTTGGGTGGGGTCTACTTGTCTGTGGAGGTTTATGGTTGTAGATGATGAGCTGTTCAATCATTTCACAGTCAACTTGTCAATGATATTCTTGATTATTCCCAATAGCATTCAGTGGAATGAGGGTTTGCGGAAAACTCCACATTGCTCTTGATTCATCGGGCAAAATTCCACTTTGCTCTTGGAAAAGTTCTAACATAATCTTTTAACTTTTAGTGATCCTTGTACACAGTAGCTTTAGCCATAGATGTTTTTTTTAAATGCAAGCATAATACACAACAAAGTAATAGAAGTGGCAATAATATTTTTTTTCAAAAGTAAGCTGCCTCCTTACCTGGATGTGTCATCTTAAGGGTGTGACTTTTATTGGTGGTAGTGATTGGAGGCTGGACTTGACTTAATAGTTTCAAGAACAGGTTTTATCTGGTGACAGAAAAAATTTTTTACATTTCTCAAACTGGAGTATTGAAAATATGAGAAACAATATTTGCTTGAAATCTCTGAGGAGCTACACTCCTCGTGTCCATCTGTTTTGACATGTGCTAATTAACATTACTCTTAGACAATTTTGTGGTCCCAAACTGCTGCTGTAGGAAGTCGCTGGTACTTTGATTGCAGAAGGTATTGTGTGGGTGTCTCCCAGTTTGTCAGCAGTCACAAAGCTGCTTTCCAGTAATGTTGCCAAAACTACAGTTCCAGAGATCTGACAGCAGTGTGATTCCTGGTCCTGTGCCTTGGGGTGAACGAGCTGCTCTGGTTGTAGCAGTGGTTGCAGCTCAGCCTTCTTGAGGCAGGAGGGTGCACTGCCTATGGAAGAGGCTGAATTACATGTCTAAAAGGGAGCTGTTTTTTAATTTTTTTGTTTTTTCCCTCCTTTTGCCTGAATCTCTGCCAAACTGTGGTGCTAAGGCTGTCCCTCTTGTTGAAGATGATGGAGAAGCAATTCAGGTGGAGAACGACCAGGGTATCCTCTAGCAGTAGAAAATCCTAATTTACAGCAGAGCCACTAAATCTTTGTTCTGCAGATCAAATCCCACAGAGATTGTTCTTTTAATTTAATTATAAACTGAATTAACTTATATTGGACAGATGTGTTCAAATTCTGAAAAATTAGGCATATATAAAATAAGTTTCTTTGCAATAATCATAAGAATTCACAGTTCTGTAAAAAGAAAAAAATGGAAAAATATTTCTTTGTGCAAGTTTCGAGCTGGCTTCCCGCCAAGCCCCCGAAACCCGACAACAAGGACCCGTTTCCCAGAAGGGGAAGAGAAAAGAAAGAACCAAAACAGCCAAAGCTATAGCAAATATATATATATATTTTACATATGAGACAGATACACAAAAGGGGAATA